TTATTAGGTAAGATTTTTTTTTGCATTTTGAGGCTGAAACTGAACACTTAGAAAGCAATATTACTGGTTTCATATTTCTCCACTAAATTTTTAAAATTTAGGTTAAAATTGAGTACACCAGTGATACCATTTGATCCCCCCCCCCCCCCCCTTGGGTCTATAGTTCCTCAACCTTATTGTAAATATTTCTTAGAATGTATTTGGATTGAGTAAAAAGTTGGTTTCTTCCTACCTGCCTGCCTCGATGGTTTGTGAGTGTGAGGGCCCTTCCACAGACCTGCCTCAGGCATCTCCTGTGGGAGCCCGGGGAGGGAGGCCCTGGCAGGCGGCCCCGCCCTCCGTGCTCACTGAGAGAGCGGCAGACCCTAGGCCTTCTCCTTCCACCACTTACATTTGTAAGATAGTCCTATTTCAAAGTGCAGATAAATATCAAAAGCAACTTAGTTTTTATTATAGAAAGTTGAAAAAGATAGGAAGCACTGAGAAGATTTTTAAAATCACTCATAAATCCAACATCTAAAGGAAAGCATCTTCGTGCATTTTCAGTGTCGGTCTTACAAAGTAAGTCCTCATTTTGCGTGTCAAGATAAAACCACCAGCATAGGGGAATACAGACAAGTTCACGTTGAGAAAAAGATTGTAAGTCAAAGTAATTAAAAACCACAGACTAAAATACAGGGTGGGGCAGGCGTGGATACAACGCCTCGTCACCGAGAGCCTGCTGAAGCCAGTGGGAAAGTGAGAGAGACGGCCCTCCCAACAGAAGAACCTGGGAAGCGTTTTAGGGCCCAAAGTAAAGTTCAGAGGTTCCTTACCAATAGGTTCCACTGTTGCTAGCAAGCCTGTGGCGCCAAGAAGGAAGCCGCTCTTGAGCGCATGCGCACACAGACCGGGAATCGGCAGGAAGAGGCTGGGCTGCTCACGTCCGCATCTGGACGCAGCCACGGAGTGAGGCCCGTCACTCTTTCTGTGATCACAGGACCATTTCTGATTTTTTTTTTGTTTGTTTGTTTGTTTTCTAATATATTTTATTGATTTTACACCACATGTGTCAAACACAAGGCCCTCGGGCCAAATCCGTCCCGCCAGGCCTTGCAATGTGGCCCGCACCGCGCTGTCATCACTGCACTCCGCTGCGTTTCCATCACAATGACAGTTTATGACTGTTCAGTAAACCATTCGGCCCACGATTTGGGCTGGATTTTAGATTTTGGCCCCTTCTCTGATTGAGTTTGACACCCCTATTTTACACAGAGAGGAATTGAGAGGGATAGAGAGTTAGAAATGTCGATGAGAGAGAAACATCAACCAGCTGCCTTTTGCACACTCCGCAACCAAGGTACGTGCCCTTGACCGGAATCGAACCCGGGACCTTTCGGTCCGCTCTATCCACTGAGCCAAACCGGTTTCGGCCATTTCTGTTGTTTTAACCTGAGGAATGGCTCCAGTAAAAATGTAATTTTGAAATAGATTCCCTATTTATGGATTGCCCAATATAAAAAAAAGTGTATTTTATAACCTAGGCTGTGAGGAGTAATTGTAAACAATTCTTTTTACTCCAAAAAAATGTCTTTATTAAGTAGTCTTTAAAAAATAGTCCTAAAATGGTGAACTTCACTGGTTAGAAGGGAGTGTTATTTCATTTACTTATAAGATAATAAAAACACAAAAACAGGAATCCAGGTTCATAATAATTCTTATTTCTATTCACATGTATTAAATTTGAGGAAGAGTTAGGTCAAGTTTTTTGGATGTATGCAGACCAAGGAAAAATATATAACCATAGTATTTTTTTAAATACTAAGGTAGCTTTTTTATAAACAGCAGTATTAGTTCCTATAATTATTAATATTTAAATAATTCAAGCCATATTCCCCTTTATTTTGCTAATTTTTATAGGAATGTTTTCCCAAGGAACACAAAGGAATGAGCAAAAATCACATTAAGAGTGTTCATAAGATTTTCCGGTACTTTTAATACAATAGATAATTGTAAAATATACATAAAATGTTTATCTCTTCAAATTCTTTTCTCCTAAACATTAAAATAGTATTACATTTTAATTGATCTTAGTGGTAATATTTCCTAAGAATACACTTTTAGATATTTTTCTTTCTGCATATTTCTCAGGTCATCAATTATTAACAAACATTTAACTAAATCAGTTGAATTTTATTTAAGGAAATTCTAATAGCCCTAGCTGGTTTGGCTCACTGGATAGAGCATCGGCCTGTGGACTCAAGGGTCCCAGGTTCGATTCCAGTCCACGGCATGTACCTTGGTTGCAGGCACATCTCCAGTAGGGAGTGTGTAGGCGGCAGCTGATCAATACTTCTCTCTCATTGAAGTTTCTAACTCTCAATTCGTCTTCCTTCTGGTCTGTGCAAAAAAAAAAAAAAAATATATATATATATATATATATATATATATATATATATATATATATATATTAAAAAAAAAAGATAAGAAATCCTAATATATAGAAACCTTGGGTCCATCACATCCACAGTGACCGGAGGCTTGTCCAACTGGCAGTCCTGCAGTCAGTGCTGGGTCACCACGTGCTGAGGGGGCTGCGAATCAGACCCAGAGAGAGGCCTGAAGAGAGAAGCAGGGTCTGATCCATAGCCTCTGTGGCAGTTGTTAATCAGCTCTTGCCTCTCTTTCTCTCAGGGCTGGGACAGCAGCTGTGCCTCCATTTCTCTCCAGGCCTCCACTGGGTTTGCTGATCAGCCCCACCTTTCTGGGCCCATTAATAGGCCCAGAAACACTGACTGACATAGAAACTGACCAATCAGAACCAAATCTGGGTCAATTGTGAGGAACCAATGGCTGCCTAGGAGGTGGAGCTTTTGATGCTGACTGGCATAGAGATGGACCAATCAGAATCAAATTGGCTGAAAGAAGACAGCAGTTGGGGGCAAAATCGGACCCACAGGGGAGGGCAGGTAGGGGTGATCAGGCAGGCAGAGGCAGTTAGGGGAGATCAGGCCAGCAGAGAAGGGCAGCCGGAGACAATCAGGATGACATGTGAGGGCATTTGGGGGCAACTGGGTTGTCTGGGGGAGGACACACCTGTAGAGGAGGCAGTTGGGGGCCATCAGGCCAGCAAGGGAGGGTAGTTGGGGGTGAGATCAGGCTGGCAGGGAAGGGCAGATGAGGGTGATCGGGCTGCAGGGTAACAGATGTTAATCAGTCCAGCAGGGGAGTGGTTAAGGGTGATCAGGCTGCCAGGCAGAAGCAGTTAGGGGCAATCAGGCAGGCCGGCAGGTGAGCAGTTAGGAGCCAGCAGTCCCAGATTGTGAGAGGAATGTCTGACTTCCAGTTTATGCCCCAAACCGGTAGCCGGACATCTCCTGAGGGGTCCCAGATTGGAGAGGGTGCAGGCTGGGCTGAGGGACACCCCCCCCCCCAACAGATTTCATGCACTGAGCCTCTAGTTTTTGTATAAAGTGAGTTGCCTTAGAAATACAAACTTTTAAAATAAGTTTTCATCATATTGCCCAGACAGAATTATCACAATGGGACAAATTATATACCTGATTTCCTTAGATGGTCAAATGTATTTGTCCCAATTCAGTAGGTGAATTTCTCTTTGCCAAGTAGCCTATAATACTGCAGTTTCTTACATAAATGAATCATGTGGTCTGTGTCCATTGAGCCCTTCCCAGGAGACTGCAACATCCTGAAGGCAGGCTGTGCCTCCAGTTTTCCAGAGAGAGGCCTGAAGAAAGAAACAGGGTCTGGCCCCCGCAGGCACCAGGGGCTTAGGAAGGAGGGGAGGAGGGTCACGTGAGCCCTCTGTGCTCCTGTCGGCATTTCATATCAAGACAAGAAACAACCCTTATTTCTTCACGTCCAACTTCTTTGTCTTCATTATCCAATTTTGTCAGGCAGGTGTATTAGTTTCAGCTGCCATAACCAATTGCCACAAACTAGGTGGTTTAAAAAATACAGAAATTTATTCTCAAATAGTTTTGGCGGCCACAAGTCTGAACTCAGGGTACAAGCAGGGCCGTATTCCCCAGGACTCTGCCCGGGCTCTCTCGCAACAAGAGAGCTCCGGGGAGCACCCTCGGCCTCCCCGCCAGGGCCAGGCCTCCCTGTGCTCTCGATGCATCGCTGTGGTGTCTGCCTCCGTGTCTTCCCTTCCATCATCTGGTTCAGGACTCACAGTGAACCCCAGAGGGCTTCATCGCTAGGTCCCCCAGCAGACTTTGCACACCCTTTTCCCAAACCAGCTCACAGTCCCAGGGTAGACACATGGCTGGGGGCTTGTACTCACTAAGAGATCACTGAACACACTTCTTCCTGTGGGATATTTGACAAGATCTTCTAGCAACATCTTTAAGAACAGGCCCCACTATGTGTGCTAGTGAGTGAGAAGGTAAAGCTGGAAGAACACAGTGGAAGCTTGTGTCTCTGCCCCACCCTAGCACCCGGCTGCCTGTCAGCTCATGGCGGGGAAGCTCTGAAGAGCAAGCATGTCCCTTTAAGAAAGTGAGGCTGGGCTGCCCACATCACATCTACTCTGCCAACCCACTGTTGGTCGAGCTTTCTGCAGCCACTTGGCTTCAAGCCCGGTGGGCAGGAGCACCTCCTGCTGTGGCCAGCGTTCTCGGAAGATGGAGAAATGGAGTGAGGGACCAACAGCAGTGACAACTTTTAAAAACGTAACTCTCCTAATGATATATTTGTAAATCGAACAGATCCCTGATGGAACCAACACATCATGCATCTCATTCCAGCATTCACCATCTTCATTCACAGCCCTTTCCTGATTTTTTAAATTCCCAATAGTGCTTGACATTCATTTCCTTAAAGAAATAAATTATTTTTCTAACATTTGGAAGTCACTGTAAAACACTGGTGTTTTCTTCTATTGAAATTGTTATAAAACATACCGTCTGAGTGACTGATCCTGACTCCCATAAGCATTTGTCTTCCCTGCTTGTCCCCGCCTGCACTCCTTTCTTCCTTCACGTGGCAACAGAATCACCATGGCAGGTGGGCGAGGGTGGCTGACGTGTCTGTCCCGAAGACTCCAGCCTTCCTGTCATGGCTGGCCAAAGAGCCTGGCAGGCAGCTTTGACTCATCCCAAGCCCTTCTCCACCAGCCCGGCCAGTAAGGAAGGTGGACCTTTCTTCTCTGACATGTGTCTCCTCAGTTGGTTTAGGACTTAGGTGGTGAGCAGGAGTGACCCAGTCTATTGTGAAGCTGTTATTTCCCACATGATTTGTGACCATAAGACAGCGTCTAGGAAAAGTCCCTGAAGGGCCACAGATGTGATTAAAGAAAAGGTAACACTCGGTCCAAGGGGGAGGGGGCACTTATTTTCAGTTTAGATCCAAACTGAAAGTTACTCTTCCGGTCAAATGGAGCAAAATACAATTAGTGACTGACCCACCCCGCCCTCCCCACCGCCCCAGCGGCAGGCACTGGGCTCAGCCAGGACCCAGGCCAGAGGGCTAAGGGCCCCAAGAGCATCGGAAGCTGAGCCTTGTATGTACTTAGCAATAAAGCCTAGAGAAAGCAGCCTTCCTGGAAATGCCTTTGGCTTAGGTTCTATTGGTGGGAAAATTCAAACAAGGCAAAAATAGCAAAGGGTTTGTACAAGGAGTGCAAGACGGGGAGCAGCTCAAAACCCCAGAGCGGCTCAGCAGAACCTGCACCGTAGGAGGCACGGCGCCCAAGCCCAGAGCAGGACAGACTGCCCTGAGGCACTTTGCAAAGAACTCCGTGGTCGCTGGAGAAATTGGAAATTAGATCCAAACCTCGCTGTGTTATGATGCACGCGATGTCATTAGGACCAAGTGACTCATGTGCACTTCCCTTTCCGTCTGTGCCTCACCTGCCTCTCGGTGCTCTCCTGTGCCCACAGCCCTGGGCGGAGGTCTCCTGCAGTGATGAGGGGTCTCCCAGGGGGAGGCCACCGCCCACACCGCAGCCCAGGTGTGGCGCTCCCTTAGGAGGCTGGTGCTGCCCTGTGGACTTCAGGCCACGCATTGCCGAGGTGGCTGCCGAATCACCATGGCTAAGCCATCTCTCCTTCTCAGAGTGAAGGTGTAAGGCCTAACCTACCACGCTGAGAGAAAGTGATCTGAAACATGGTGAGATTTGTTGGAATCCACTTGTGAGATTCTGGTGGTGTAAGATGGTTAGAAAACAAATGTTGCCGTATGTCGTGGCTGCCCCGGTTTTTCTCATAGCTCGCAGGAAACTTCCTAAGTCCAGATCTGAGTTTTTCTTTCTCAAGCTGTAACATTTCCAGATGCTCCCAATGGACTACGGGGTAAATTCCAAACTCCAGGGACATGGTTCTGAAAGTGTGGTCCCAAGAGCAGCCTAATTTTGTAAAAACTGCAAAATTCTTGCCCTCCTCCACTCCACCTGCGTCTGGGCGGTGGGCGAAGGGGTCTCTGGGCTCCAGCACTTCCGTGGGAGGGCGCTGTGCCAGCAACCACTCCGTCCCTGCCAGGCCGCCTTCCCAAGCACAACGGGCTCTCACACTAACACCACCCAGGCCCCCACGGCCTGACCTCTCCTCAAGCACTGTCACTCGTTCTGCTCGGGGCGGGATGTGTGCCCACTCACCTCCCAGCATCCAGCTCAAGTATCGCCTTTGCTGCAGAACTCGGGCGTCCCTGACTCCCAGGCCTCGCCATCCCTCCCTCTGTGCTGTCACATGTAACATGCGTGCTGCACGGTTTATGCCTCTCACATGGGAAGACGGGCCCGCAGGGCAGAGTCTCGCCTCCAGTGTGTTCACTAAGATGCCAGCCGCAGAGGTTCCTGTGCATGTGGAGAAGCGAGGACCCGTCTCACTTGGCGGCTAAGCAGACAAGCTGCCTCCTCCTGGGCTTCCGTTTTTTTCACTCCTTTCTTTGAACTGGAGATGGGGCCTCCTCTCCTTCCTGCTCAGTGAGCTCACAGGCACGACGCTGTGAGGGGTGCCAGCTGGGTCCCCCAGGCCCGGTCAGTGGAGGGCGCCTTTCTCCCTCACATGTACCCAAAGAACGACAGTCTGGACAAAAGACCAAATTTTCACAATGTTCTCTAATCACCTATTTCCTTTTCGTCTTAATTTATGAGAAGAGTTGAAAAACCACAAGTACTTGGTAATATTGAACATGAAGGGACTTTTTTTCCAATAGAAATAATAATGTCAGTCTCTCCTTGGCAGCGGAATATTTGATTTTTCCTTTTCCTTATTCATAAACAAACAGGTGAAGGGCACATCCAGTCTGGCTTCTCCCTGCCGTCCCAGATAGCGAGCACGTGGTGGGCAGGAGCACGCTCTGCTCACACCTCCTGCAGGCCACAGAGACAAGCTGCCCAGCTCGTCTATCTGGACCCCGAGATGCTATTTTCTGTGGAGCCGAAACTACTTGAAACTGAAAACACAAATCTTTGGACAATTCTGACCTGGATGTCCTGTCTGGGGGTCAGCCTCTAACTTCCCACAATCAGCTAAGCAAACAGCCGACACAGGGTGCCCCTTTCCTCGGTCCTCCTGTCAAAACCCACCTCTGGTCAGAGATGCAGAGAAGAGCAGTGAAGGCCGAGAGGACGAAGGTGCAGGGAAGGGGCGGAACAGGCAGCAGCAGGCAGCGAGGGGCCAGGTGAGTTTCCCGCCACAGCTGCCTCTGGGAAGAGCTGCGGAGAGCGGTCATGTTCATGGCTAGCAGGGGACTGAGAAGGACTGCAGAGCCGAGTGTCCAGGGCCACAGCCAGGAACAGCGCTAGAGCACTCCGAGAGTGGCCGCTCCAGAGACTCACCGGCCTGGTCCATGCCACCCTGCTCTCGGCACCTCACATGCTTCTAGGGAGCTCCCGTTCCCTCTTCACAGGGACAATAACTTCCTCTTGTGAAGCAGAGCTTCCAGAATTCTGTGAAAAGTAAGCTGCACTGGGACAAGATTGAGAAGGTCCCAGGAGGGTTGGTGTTGCCCTGCGCAGAGCTCCCAGTCCAGGAGAGCAAGTGGAGTGTGTGTGGGGGATGGCCGTTGGGTCAGGGGGAGCTCCTGGCATAAGGGGAGCCAACTGCAGGCTGGTGGGGAGCCCAGACTTGGCTTAGAGCAAAAGGCCCTTGTAACGGGACTGTCCTCCTGCTAACTGTGTGTTAGAGGACAAAATTGCCTGGATTTCTTACCTGTCGGCAGTGAGAGAGCAGACGGAAGAGGTAAAGAACAGAGACAGGATGGGGAGGCAATAGAATTGATTGTTTTTGAGGTGCCCAAGTTCCTCACAGCTGCTCACACACCCACATGCCTCACCCCTGTAATCAGGGGGCTCGGGCCTCTTTCTTGCCTGTAAAATAGCCTGTCATTCACATCAGTCAGAAGTGACACAGATCTACTCTGGAGACTCATAAAACGCTCAGAGCTCAGCTGCTCAAAGCGCCCAGGTTTTCTTCCCACGCCCTTTAATGCCCACGTGAGGCATCATTCCCCTCCGAGGCCCAGAGGCCAGGGCAGGGGCACATTCTCATGCCCAGCGGAGAGCATCCCGGGAGTCCTGTGTAGCAACCGGAACAAGGACAGGACACACGTGCACACCCAGCCGGCTCCCTGCTGTGCGCAACAAAGTCACACTTTCTCCTTCCCCTCGTGTCAAAGCCATGGATACCTCGTGGAATTGCCTCGGACACTCCAGCCTCAGGGCCACGACCAAGTCTGCATCTGCCCACAACTGCCCAGCACCAGCCCCTGGAATAAGAAACCGGAGTGACGGGTTTGGTCTTTGAAGTTACTGGGTGGCCTTAAGGAAATTGTGTAGGTTTCAGGGGTACAATTCTATACACAGCGTCTGTGTGTCGCACTGTGTTCCCCACCCCCCAGTGCGCTCTCCTTCCGCCGCTATTTACCCCTTCAGCCTCCACCCCGCTGCCCCCGCGCCGGCTGGACGGCGGCTGGAACCTGAGACCCCGCCGACCCCGCCCCGGCCCGTGCGTCACGAAGGGCGGGCCTTGCGTCCGGGGGCGGGGCCAGAGGCGGCTCGCGCAGACCACGCTCCGCGCGAGGCCCCGCCTCCCGGCCGGAAAGGGGCGGGCGCACCGCTGAGGGTCCGAGTTTCTCACTCTTGGCGGGACCGGCCGCCCGCCCGCCGCCCGCCGCCCGCCGCCCGCCGCCCGCCGCCCGCCGCCCGCCGCCCGCCGCCCGCCTCTGCGAGGGAGGCCTCTCCCCCCAGCGGACGCGCCATGGAGGGCCGCTGGCCGGGCGCCGCGGCTGAGGGACTGCCCGGCTGAGTGCGGGCGACGCCGAGCTGCCGGGCCCCGCGGCGGGCGGCGGGCGGGCGGGCGCGGGGGCCCCGGTCTGGGCGCCGGGCCCCGCGGCCTCGGAGCTGCCGGCGGGGCGCGCGGCCCGGGGGCGGCCCGGGGCCGGCGTGGCCGCGGTGGGGCGCGCGCGCTGCGGCCGGGGCCTGGCGCTGGGCTGCGCGCTGGCGGCGCTGGGCCTGGCCTCGCTGGCGCTGGCCCGCCGCGCGCTGCGGCACCTGCTGCGCTGGGCCGAGGGCCTGCCGCCGCCGCTGGGCCCGCTGCTCTTCGCGCTGGGCTTCGTGGCCGTGTCCTTCCCCTGCGCCTGGGGCTACCTGGCGCTCAGCGTGGCCGCCGGCTACCTGTACGGCTTCGCGCCGGGCCTGGCGCTGGTGGCGGCGGGCGCGCTGCTCGGCACCGGCCTGGCGCACGTGGTCTGCCGGCGGCTGCTGGCGGCGCGCGTGGCCGCCCGGGTGCGAGGCAGCGAGCGGCTCAGCGCCGTGGTCCGCGTGGTGCAGGGCGCCGGCGGCCTCAAGGTGGTGGCGCTGGCCCGGCTGACGCCCATCCCGTTCGGGCTGCAGAACGCCGTGTTCTCGGTGAGTGGCGCTGCCGCCTGGCTCCGCGGCAGGCCCGGCGGGGAGGGCGCCCCGGGGTCAGTGCCCGGCGAGGACAGCGACAGGCGCCCGGACTCCTTGGGAGCTCACGGTGAAGCTGATCAGGCCCCAGCGGGAGGGCTGGCGGAGGAGGAATGCCCGCTTTTCGCATGGTTTTGCTCAAAACCGAACTTGCCGCTCTGATTGCAGATGGGTGGCAATGTCCATTCGTCATCTTACTTCTCTGGGCGCGCAGGGCCCGCCGGGGCGCCAGGGCCGCACCCCGCCTGCTCTGGCCCTGCGCCCTGTGACCAGTGTTCGGGGGCCGCGGCTGCAGCCCACAGCTCCTCACTGATTAGGCCTTTCTGCGCCATAACTTGCTATGATGCCGTGCAAAGGCTAAGTCCTCCTGCTGGTCTTTCTTAGAAGGAAATCACAGGTCCCCGTGCCCAGCGCACATGCTCTTCGCGCGCCTCCAGACCTGTCCTGTGCACTGCCCTTGACCTCCGGCGAGGGCAGAGCCTGCTGCCCCTCGCGCTCATGGCGACTGGGAGCACGTCACCGCCCGCCGCCCCTGCTTCGCGTTGGGAGCTGCGGGGACTAGGCCACAAGGCCCACATGAAGGGCCTCGCAGAGCTGGCAGAGGCTGCGGGAGCTCAGCCCTCAGCCGCTCTTACACTGGCGGCAGAGACAGCGTTCGAAGCCACAGGAGGGCCTGCATGTTCTGTCAGTGGTTCTGACACAGTTTTGTTTAGAAAGGAAGCATTTTTAGTCTCTGTAAACTTGTGTATTAAGATTAATTCTAAACAGCTTAACTTTGTGACAGAATTAATTTTTTCATTCAAAATCCTTTTGCAGATCTTGTGTTTTCTCTCCCAGCAGCGTTGGCTGTAGACTGAGTGAGGCGAGGCTGGTGCTGGCTGTGGAAGGGAGGGTCTCAGGCCTCCAGTGTGGAGTGTGAGGGGTGCAGAGCAGCGTGCTAGCACTGAGCGGAGGGGGGACTAAGGAGCCCGGACTGCATCGTGAGTCTGCTTAGTTCTCCACTGTCAGGGTGAGCTGTGCGCCTTTTCTGTCCCGGCGGTGCCTGCTATCCGGGTCCTTCTGTGCACTGCTCACTCTCCCAGCAGGACCTGCAGAGGGTGCCCCTGGAGGCCACAGCCTGTCTGACCGAGGGCGCAGGCTGTGCTGAGGCTCTGACCTGCTCCTTGTCCTTTCTGTGGGTCAGATGCTTATTTGTAAAACGGGGAGAGCAGTGATACCTGTTCCATAGGATTGCTGAGAAGATTACTCAGGTAAATACATGCCACAGAGCCCAGCTCAGCCAGCACGCTCCTCTGGCCTTGGCTCCCATTCCTGCCGTTACCCAAGGTCACCAGGTAGTAAATGAATGATAGAGTCAGACTTTGCACTGCAGTCTGCTGATAGGACCCAGCCCCGGCTCCGCTTCCTCACTGTGTCTTCAGTCCCCAGTGCAGTTCTGGGTGCATAAGAAGGAATAGGGACGCATTACATGTTTATTAACTTAACAGATTTTTAAAAATGCCTCTTGAACATTAAATAAGTGAGAAAGAAGTAGTACTTGGTACATGGCTGCATGGCCTCCCACTGCTCTGCTCTCCAGGCATATCTCTTCCCTTCCTGTATTTTACTTATTAAATGTTTTTATTTATTGATTTTAGAGAGAGAGAAGTTACGTATAGTTATTCTGAGCTGTACTTCCTGTTGTAACGTGTGTAACACCTGCGGCATAGCTGTGATAAAATATAGTTTGCTTATTATTTACTATAATAGAGGCCCAGTGCACGAAAATGCATGCACTGGCGGGGGTGGGGTGGGGGGGGGAGGCTCAGCCTGGCCTGCTCCCTCTCACAGTCATGGAACCCTTAAGTTAAGGGGATGTCCTACTGAAGGCTTAGGCCCGCTCCCCAAGAGGAGCGGACCTAAGCCACAGTCTGGACTCCCTCTGTGGGAGGCAACCAGGCTGATCAGGGAAGGAGGTGCCGCCCCCATCATCCCACTGCTGCTGCTGCCACTGCCTCTGCCACTGCCAGCCTCAGGGACTGCAAGGCCTGAGCCCTGGGCCTCGCAGCTGCTCGAGCCCATGGCTCCTGAGCCCCAGGCCTCACACCAGGGCTCACGACTGCCTGAACCCACAGCGGCCTGAGCCCACGGCTGCCGAAGGAGTCCTGGCCTAATTGGCATATTACCTCTTTATATATGGAGATTTCCTTCTCTCTATCCCATGCATTCCAAAATGAGAACATTGACACCCAGAGATTTTTTTGAAATTTAATAAATATTTTCGGTTCACGTACTAAGTGAAGGCCCTGTTCTACCTGGCACATTATATAATGCTCACATCAACCCTAACCCCGCAGCAGCTAAAGCACGGGAGGCATGGAGTGGGAAGTGACCAGCCAGGCACATGCCAGTCCCTGGAGCGGCGTGAATGCTGCAGGCCTGCGGCTCGGAGGACCTGCATTTCTCGGGGACCTGGCTCCTGGGTTTACAGCTCACAGGCCTCTCTTGCCTGTCGTCGTACCATGTCCACGCATGTCTTAACTCTTCCTTGATTGAAAAAAGGAGGCATCTTCTTAAACTTTATCTAACAGGTTGTTATTGTCTACAAAATAAGTTCATTGTAAAAACTTTTAAAACTACACATTATCTTTCCTTGAAGAACAAAACAGTCATTAGCAGTTTAGTGTGTTTTTCCAGTTTCTGCAGGTGCTAGTGCACCACTTTCCCTCAGTCACGTGGTGAGTGAGGGCAGCAGATGGCGTCTGTGGCCTTTTTCTGAATGGATGGGCACTTGTTAAGGAGTCTACAGAGTGACTCCCAGTGACCACCAGGCAGGTGTTTCCTGTCTTTATGTCTTTATCTCTGTAGGTTGGGGTCTCGTGGGTAGAAGTCATTTGATAAAGTTTTGTTGAATGAGCAAAAATTATAAACCTATAGTTTGCCATACTTTTTGAAGAAGATCTTTTTTAACTATTCAGAGAAACTTTATTATATTTAGACATGGACTGATTCTTCCCATTCTTATATTTTGTAACTTAAATATTTATTTTAGAGATAACTTCCAAAACATACAATGTTTTACTACTAGCTGCAATATAAGATTTATTTTGTCATATTTACTTAGGTACTTGACAAGTTTATTCCAAAGAAAGTTCTCCTTTCCAGTGAGTGCTCCAAACTAACAGGAGCCTTCCTCAAGCTTGGCCCCATTCATGTCATTCCTTAACTAGACGCCCCTTGTCACCCCTGTGTCACTTAGTGTCCTGTCGTGCTTCTCAGGGTCCCCAGCGTGGGCCTGGAAACAACCCCAACCGCTCACCAGTGGCCAGGACAGCCCTGATTTCCCGCCTGTGTTCCTCCTGCCTGGTCCCACCTGCCCCTTCCTACCTGCCTCCTCCCACCTGCCCCTTCCCACCTGTCTCCTCCCACCTGCCCCCTCCCACCTGCCTCCTCCCACCTGCCTCCTCCCACCTACCCCTTCCCACCTGCCTCCTCCCACCTGCCCCTTCCCACCTGCCTCCTCCCACCTGCCCCTTCCCACCTGCCTCCTCCCACCTGCCCCTTCCCACCTGGCTCCTCCCACCTACCCCTTCCCACCTGCCACCTCCCACCTACCCCTTCCCACCTGCCTCCCACCTGCCTCCTACCTACCCCTTCCCACCTGCCTCCTTCCACCTGCCTCCTCTCACCTACCCCTTCCCACCTGCCTCCTTCCACCTGCCTCCTCCCACCTGCCCCTTCCCACCTGCCTCCTCCCACTTGCCCCTTCCCACCTGCCTCCTCCCACCTACCCCTTCCCACCTGCCTCCTCCCACCTACCCCTTCCCACCTGCCTCCTCCCACGTGCCTCCTCTCACCTACCCCTTCCCACCTGCCTTCTCCCACCTGCCCCTTCCCACCTGCCTCCTCCCACCTACCTCCTCCCACCTGCCTCCTCCCACTCCCCCTTCCCACCTGCCTCCTCCCACCTGCCTCCTCCCACCTGCCTCCCTCCTCCCACCTGCCTCCTCCCACCTACTTCCTCCCACCTGCCTCCTCCCACCTGCCTCCTACCTGCCTCCTCTCACCTGCCTCCTCTTACCTGCCTCCCACCTATCCAGTCCCACCTGCCTGCCGGCCAGATGCAGCTTACAGAGCTGTCCCTGTGCCTCCTCCCCAGGCTGCCCCTGCCCTGTCTCTGCAGCTGGGTTGGTCCTGCTCTCTAATGCTCTGCACCTGCCTCCTCTGTGTTGCCTCTGTCTGGCCTCGGGGACTGGCAGTGCTCTGGTTTCAGGCAGGTAGCTGTGTCTGCCTTGCTGTCCGTGGGCCCCACCAAGACCTTGGGGTGCAGATGTGTCTGTCGTTGTCATGGGGATTGTGAGTGACCTTCCACACCAGCAAAGCTGCCTCTAGTGGATCACCAGGGAGCAGGTGGATGCGACTTCACCGAAAGCAGGAGTGGAAGAAGGAGAGTGCCAGGTCACTGTTGGCACCAGGTCTCGGGAGCACACCGTTGTTCTCAGCATTCATGGCAGTAGCAGCTACATGAAATGCTAGAAATAAGTGAATAACATGCATGATTCATATAAATAAAACTAAACTTTAGTAAGATGTGAAAATTCTGAGAAATTATGAAACATTTTGGATAAGTGCTAAATATTGTAGAGGTTTCACCTCTATCCAATTTAATTTATAAATATGCCTTAATCCTATATAAAATTGATTAATTTTTTTTAAAAATGACAGAGTAGTCCTAAAATTTATCCTTAAGACTAATTATGACAATTTTTCAAAGGAGAGAAATGAAGGGTTTGAAGGATGGCAAGTTCTTTATCTGATGGTCTTTCAACACAAGATTTAGGATATCAGTGGGCCCCATTATAGCTCCAAATGGCTCCTTCTACATATAGTTACTTCATTTCTAATGAAGTCAACATCCCAGTCACTACAGAAGTTAATTCCACAAGTAATGCTAAGAAGGTTGGCTGTGGGGGAAGGGCAGGAATAGGCTGTTCCCTCTCCTTTATATTCTCACATTTAAGCCAAATAAATTCTAGAAAGAATAAGTGGTAAATGCTACAAAGGAAAAGACAATTATAAAAAAATACAGGTAAATAACACAGGGATCTGAAGAGACTAAAGCTGAAAGCAATGGAGAAATCAGGAAGAGATAGTAATATTAGATTACACACAGATGCAGAAACAATTATATCTCAAAGCATAAGGGGCACTATCGAGGAAAATAGTCGCCACATAAACAGCTCTAATGGATCCTTAAGAAAAATACTCAGTGTTCCAGTTAACAAACGGGCAGATGTGAACACGTGAAGCCATACTTAAAACGAATATCGGTTGTATTAAATAGTGCTGATGAAACATTTACTCCTGTCAAACTGGGGAAGATTGAAATGTCATATTGAGCGTTGCTGTGATGGAATGGACACAAAGGCGTTACTGACAGGCATACAATCACTGGGGACTTTTTTGGGGAAAGTTTTTATAATTCCATCCAATGGGTCCATTCTGAGTGATTTATCCTAGGAAAATGGAAATATGTTTGTTGTGTAATAGATCATTCCAGAAGGGAGTGGCTTAATGAGCAGCCCTCCCAGCTCTGCGGCTGGAGGCCCCTGTGCAGTTCTCTCCGCCTAAGTCCGCCTCAGTCCGCTCCCAGCCTGACTGCGGAGGATTCGCCTCCAGGCAGGCCTCCATCTCTGCTCCTGGGGCTGCGTTCCTGGCTCTGGGCCTCCCCAGGGAGCTACAGGCCTGCTGAAGGGAGGGCGGGCAGTCTGTTAGCTGGAAGGCGAGTCCTGAGAGAAGTTTTGTGGAGTTTAGACCCTGCCTCTGCACCTGGTCAGTGTGCAGGCAGCTGCTCCTTCTGGTTGAGTTTTCGTTTAGAGCCGCAGAAAAAGAAGCATAGGATCCCCTGTCCATAGACGACCCGGAGACCGTAGCCCAGCGGGAGCATGGCTGCACGAGGACCATTTCTGCCTTGATGGAGTGTCGGTCTTGAGCTAGGCACTTGCTAGATATTGTTCAAACCTCTCTGATCCTCACCACAGCCGTGTAGGGAGGTATTTTTTTTTGTTTTGTTTTGTTTTAAATACATTTTACTGAGTTTTTACAGAGAGGGAGAGGGATGAAAGCTAGAAACATCGATAAGAGGGAAACATCGACCAACTGCCTCTTGCACACCCCCTACTGGGGATATGCCCGCAACCAAGGTTCATGCCCTTGACCGGAATCGAACCTGGGACCTTTTGGTTCACAAGCCGACGCTCTATCCACAGCCAAACCGGTTTCAGCGGGAGGTGGTTTATCTTCCATTTCAGATGAAGAGGCTGACGGATGCTCAGAGACAGGGTGGCTGGGGCGTTCAGCCCCTGAAGGCTGCTGGGGCCTCTGGCTCCAGAGCCGGCACTGCTGCTGCCATGCTGGTGGAGGGTGACCCGAGGAGGCTTTCCAGAGCGACCAGGGCCATGTTCTGTGCGAGTCACCCTTCCCTTTCCCTTGGTCTTGCAGATGACCGAGCTCCCCTTGCCCAGCTACCTGCTGGCGTCCTCGGCGGGGCTGCTGCCCACCCAGCTCCTGAACTCCTACCTGGGCACCACTCTGCGGACCATGGAAGACGTCATTGCCGAGCAGACTGTGAGCGGGTACGCAGTGTTTTGTTTGCAGGTGAGTTTAAGGCCAGGGCTGCCTTTTTCCCTCTTGTAAAACATTGCTGATTTCACCTAACAGATTTAATAAAAATAATTTAAGAAAATTTTTGCTTTTTATGTATTTTCTTGTTCTTTCAATCATACGTAATATTTTGACAATATTTACATTTTAATTGTGTGGCTATATTCCAGAATGGAGTGGCTTAATGAGCAGCCAACCCAGTATGGAACTGAATTGAAGATGGTCTTAAACAAAAAGGAATGATAAAAACTGGGTCCTTTCTTTGGTAATAATTTTCACAGTCACCACTAAACCAAATACTCTATTGAGTTAGTGTGAAGTGTTAATACTCTGTTTTGGAAAATTATTTCAGTGAGATTTAGTGGGGTTGGCTTTTTATTTTTGTTACTTTATCTTCAAATTATTGAACTCTCTGTTTCTTAGAATATTATATTGGTAATATATTTTTTCTGATATAATTTGATGTAGAGAAAACATTTTTTAGGAAGTATTGCTTTCTAAAAAGTAAAGATTTCTGCTACAAATCTAAATAAGATTTGTATAATGGATTATTATCCTGCACTTTGTAATGTAGTTTGGGGAACATGTAATACCATATACTGTGTGTACCAGTTAATAATGCGGATTTTTTCAATAGATGTAGTTACACATATGTTTTATATATATGCGATTTGATATGTATGTTACTTTGTTGTATGGACAAACAAAACTTCATATGTCAAATTTACTGAAGTTGTTATGCTTAAAAATGTCGAATTTCGTGCCAAAAAAAGAGCATTTGTGGGAAGTTTTAATTTATTTATTTTGAAGAAAAAAAAAGTTATATACTTTGGGAAGCTTATGGTGAACATGCTCCATCTCAAGGTACTTGCGAATGCTGGTTTAAATGCTTTAAAAGTGATGATTTCGATGTGAAAGACAAAGAACGTCCAGGTCAATCCAAAAAGTTTGAAGACAATTACAAGCATTATTGGATGAAGATGAGTGTCAAGCTCAAAAACAACTTGCAAAAAGGTTAAACGTTGCTCAGCAATTTCTGATTGTTTACAAGCAACGGGAAAGATTTTAAATGAAGGAAAATGGGTGCCACATTAACTGAACGAAAGATAAATGGAAAACCGAAAAGTCATCAGTAAAATGTGAAAGAAAGTCTTTTTTGCATCGAATTGTGACTGGTGATGAAAAGTGGATTTATTTTGAGAATCCAAATGCACAGAATCATGGAGTTGATTCAGGTCAACCATCAACATCGACTTCAAGGCCAAATCACTTTTGAAAGAAAACAGTGCTCTGCGTTTGGTGGGATCAGGAACATGTGGTGTGTTATGAGCTTCTAAAATCAGGTGAAACTATTAATACTGATCGCTACCAACAACAAATAATCAATTTGAACCACGCTTTGATTGTAAAACCACCAGAATGTTCCAGGAGACATGGCAAAGTAATTTTGCTTCATTATGACGCACCATCACACACTTCAAAACCAGTTAAAGACACGTTAATAGATCTTGCCTGGGAAGTATGAACCCACTGCCCCTAACCCCCATCCCATATTCACCAGACCTTGCTCCTTCGGATTACCACTTGTTCGATCGATGGCACACACATACACTTTCTGAGCAGCACTTCAAAACGTATGAAGAAGTAGAAAATTCGGTCTCTGAATGGTTTGCCTCAAAATGAGAAAAGTTCTACTGGGACGGTATCTACAGATTACTTGAAAGGCGGGGGAAATGTGTACCTAGCGATGGACATTACTTTGAACAAACCACCTTTGATGTTTCTCTCGAAATTATCGTGTGTTTTTTAATTACAAAATCTGCCATTATTGACCAGTACAGCTAGTAAGATGTTGATAAAAGAGAAAAGTTCTGTATGTAGGCTCATTAATTTAGTGCACTTAAATTGCATACAGGAAGAGTTAGTTTATTTGTTTAGTTATGATACATTTTATTCCTGAGATTTACCAAAATGGAAAATCATCATAAATCTTGACAATCTATAATAGTACGGTGGTGGTGATGACGTGACAGCTGTCTTTTACTGAGTGCTTTCCTGGCCATGTAGTTGAGCTCATGTAATTCCTACCAAAACCCTAGGAGGTTTGTGTTTTTATTAGTTCAAGCCCACCTTGGACACACCCTTCGCTGCGCTTCCCTCCGTGATGGTGCATTGCTAGCATGAAACTAATCACGGCAGAAATATTTACACCCGGAATGCAGGTGCTCCAAATCGAGATTCCCACCTCCGACCCCCAAGAGCTAGTTTGTCTGCACACCAGACAGTGCAGTGGCTGGCTGACAGCTAGTGCTAGCGAGACGGGGACTGTGGCTGATGTCAGCACTGGTTAGTTCTGATTCCTGCTGTTGTTGACATGTGGCATCAGGCCACAGAAGCCCTGTCAGCAGCGCTGTGGTAGGGGTTTGAGGTGCCGTGTACTGTAGGGGCGGTGCTCCGTGCACACGCGTGTGAGCAGTCGGCCTGTGAGCTGCATGGGCAGCGTGTCGGCCAAAGGGCGCAGCACGGAAACTTGGCAGTGATTTGCTGTTTGGGGGGGGTCAGGCATTTTTATTTTGTCATTTGCCTTCAGAGCTATGTATGTTTTAGATAAACTGAATCTAGTTTTAGAGTTATTATAGTTGGCTTATTTTTATGAATGCAAGTTACATGAAGCTTCCTATGCATTCTATCTGTGGAATCATTTGTTTAGAATCATCCCGAGGCCCCGGTGGACTCTGCATTCTCAATGTTTTTTCAGTATAAATTTAAGCACATTTTGCTTCTCTAGTTTCCTGAAAATGGGTGATCCATTTGAAACCTCTTTTCCTCTATGGTATGTGTGAATCATTAGAAACCCTCGTCCTCACGTCTTTCCCAAGATTCTCAGCGTGTTGTGTGCATCTCGGCACACCCCCCCCTGCAGTCCTGCGTTCGGGCGGGACATGCGCGCAGTGGTCAGTGGTCAGTGGAGTGTCTGCAAGTGCAGGATCTTCTTTTCCCACCATGTTCACCCCCATGGAAGCTGGCGAGCTTACCTTAGGATACAGATGGGGGTGAAGCAAGTCTTCCTTAGCGAGCGTTTACGAAAACCACCACCGCCCACGTTCCTTCCTGCGGAGTCTGTTCCCGGGAGGACTGAGCCAGCCTGCAGGTGTGGGATGAGAGGGGATCCGTCCCGGAGGGGTGCCCACGGAGAGGAGTGGGGGCCCGGGGCCCTCCTCAGCTGCTGGAAATGGCAAGGTTCTGCGTCAGGATTAGAGCTGCCTGCAGGGTCCAGGATTGGACAATGGCACTGGTGGTGCTCGGACCAGGCCAGCTAGTCCATGTCTGGAAAGAGGCTGGGACCCACGGCCCCGTCCAGTCCCTCATGTGTCTCCCGTATTTGTGTGGCCACAGCCAGAGCCCCTCGGAGGATCCCGAGTCTCATCTTCACACCTGCGCCTCGGGGATCGCGGGCCAGGCAGACCGGGGCTGGTGTCAGTGTGGTGTCAGCCGCTCCTCGCCGCCGGAACATCTCCCTCCTCCAGTCGGTCTCCCCTCCTTCCCCTTTTCCGAGGCTCTTCCCGGCTCCCAGGAGCGTCAAGGCCTCAGAAGAAACCAGTTTCAATCTATTATAGTTTGCCCAGGCCTCACTGGTGATGGGGAGCGCCCTCTGCTGGAAGGGCTCCTCTCACCTGTGCTTGGGCTTCTGTGTAATAGGAAACCTTTTAAAACCTTTCCCCACATCACGGCTCAGTGGAGTGTGGAGCCAGTACCCACCGCAGGTCTTGGTCTGGAAGGACATCTTGGGGGAAGCCCGTGCGTGGGGATGGAGCCAGAGGTTTGCCTCTGGGTCTGAGCCTCTGTCCTGTGGCCTTGTCACAGCCCCAAGCCACAGGCCACCTCGTCTCCGTCAGACGGCAGCGGGGCCTGCCTCGGCCTGGCCCATTGCACGGATGTGCTCCTCCCAGCCCCTCAGTCAGTAGCTGAGGTTCCTCGTCCCCCTCAGATAACTTCTGGGCACAACCGTTGCGGGGGGAAGGGGGAGGCGCGCTGCTGTGATGGGTGAAGACCCTGGGCTGGCATCACCGAGCAGCCGGCGGGCCTGGCTGTCCGTGACACCTCCTCTCGTGACACCTCTCGACTCCCTTTCACCGCCGTGTCCACCTTTGTCAGAGTTCCTTTGGTTTTCTTCCTGAGGACACACATTTCGCATTCGTGGTCTGTGTCATCTTGAAGCTACCGCGTTTCATTTCTCAGGTGGTGGCTCATGGTCCGCGTGTGACCGCACCAAGTATTGCATCTGCGGGTGGCGGTGCTGCTCGGAGGCCCAGGCCCCGTGGGCATCGCCAGGTGTGCGGACAGGAGCCAGGCAGGCCGGCACGCAGCCCGGCCCGCGCTCCCTCTGCTGCCACGTCTCAGTCCTTGGGAGGTTTTTCAGTTGAAGGGTCGGGCTTGACATGACGTCACGTGTGGGCTGGAGGGCGCATTCCCGCGTGTGTTTCCCTGGCGCCGAGCCCGGGTCACCCGTAGGTGCGGCCCCCCTCCCAGCAGACGCCGGGGAGAGGGTGGCCGTGTGAACCGCTCGAGCCCTTCCCTGCGCGCCGAGAAGCGTCCTAATCCGGCACGGGGGCGCTCCCCCGCTCCTCCCCTGCGGTGCTCACGGCCTCTCTGTTTGCTCCCCAGGTCGTCCTCAGCGTCGGCCTCATGTTCTACGTGGTCCATCGCGCGCAAGGGGAGCTGAAGGCGGCGCTGGTCGCCTGTGAAGCGGAGCTGGACGCTCCGCTGCTGAGCGGCGGGCAGCCGGACGGCGGCATCGACGTCGTGTGACCCCCTCAGCGGCGCCCCCTGCGCACATGCTTGTCAGGAGCCTGGTGCTGTCTGGGTGTCGTTGTCCCCCCACCCCAGGGGGGGGCAGAGCCGGGCCGAAGGTCGTGGCACAAACAGAAGGACTGGTTCCAGCGGCTCTGCTTCTCTGAGGCGAGAATCTGTCCGTGTGGGCTGCACGGTGACCTGTGCCCCCAGAGGCCTTCGCTCTGCGCTGTGGGTGTCGTCTCTGAGGACGTGTGAGCAGAGGAAGGACCGCGCGCGTGCTGCCGGCCGTGTGTACAGCCCGGGGCGGTGCGTCCGTCCTGCTCGCAGAGCGGTCCAGGCCCGCTCCCCACGTCAGGAAGGGGAGCAGAGGTGCTCGGTGGTTTGTGAGCGGGGCCACCTGCTTCCTGTTTCTTTGGGGGACGGCGTCCCGCCAGCAGTGGTGTGGCGTGTGTGCGGTCACGCAGGGTCCGAGGAGGCTGAAGTGCTCTTACCACCCGTCCTCCGGGCGGCGCGGAGCCAGAGCCGACGGGCAGCGCAGGCCTGGGAGGCTGTGCGCCGTCGCGCGCAGTTTACCCAGCCATTTCACTGAACACTTCCTTTTGTAGTCATCGTTAGGTTTTGAAATAAAAATGTTTTTCCTTTAAAATGGTGGGCTTGCCCTCATTGAAGATGTCACTCAGGTGGCCTTATTGGATCAAAACGCCTTTTTTACAAACAAGCTTTAAAATCATGTGTGTGTTCCACTGTAGTTGTCCCCATTGTCTGTAGCTTTAAAACTGTAAGTGCGAGGTGAACGTAGTGCCCAGCTGTGTGTCAGGGCCTGCTGTCGAGCAGGCTTGCTGTTTGCTTCCCAGTTGCTTTTCTCTGATCAGACTCAGGGCCCTGAACTGCGAACGGTGCTGTGAGCCCCCACAGGTGCCAAGTCCCAACTCCCCGGGCTCAGGGCACGTCACTCACGCACCACCTGACCTCCGTAGTTTAGTTTGTGAATTTAAAGATTTGGTGTTGCAGTTTCTTTCCTTTTTACAACCAAGAGTATAGATGGATCCAGGTTTTCTGGTTTGTATCTCGGTTTGGCAAGAGGTTTCCAGCCTAGAGACTCGCATTTGCCTGGCCATTGGCTGGCGCCTGTGCCTGGCTTGCTCCGGGGAAGCGTCTTCAGAAGCAGCCGGCCTGTCCCGCGCTGAGCGTGCTCCGTGGTAAGTTCTCTGGGCCAGGGAGGCAGTGCTCTTCTTCCTCCCAGCACCTCGCGCTCTGCCTGCGAGGAGGGCTCGGCCTCCGCCCGGGGCCTCGGCCAGCCGGCCTGCAGCACAGCACGGACGGCCTCCGCATCGTCTATCGATGGGAAACGCGTGGATTAGAATATTCTTACTCTTTTTTGAATCCTAATTACTTGTTTAGTTCTCTGTTTTGTTTGTTTTTAGTGATTTTACAATGAGCAATACACTTGGTCCATGTCTAACTTGACTTTTCTCATGCTCCTCGTCGGTTGGTTTGCTGAAGGAACCATTCATTGAAGGTCATTGCTCTCACACTTCGTGCACTTGCTGTGTTTTGAAATGCATTTATTTACTTAGCATCTCGTAACTTGAATAATTTCTCCAAACATAAACCTTTTGGTAGTTCGTAACCAGCTCTTCCAACTGTTGCTTGGCACCTCAAATAAACATGCCAAGGTGAACAAGAAGTGATTTTTTTGTATGCTGCCAATCATTTTATATAATAAATCACCCATTTTTACTTAAGATTGTGTGGATTTGCTGTTTCTAAGACTCTAGCATAGAGCCGCCCTTCCTTTCTCTCCACCTCCCCAGCCCCAGGGGACATCACTGCACCTGGTGCCCTGGGCACAGGCCGCTGTCACAGAGTTCCTCCTGTTGACTAAGTCCTGTCTCCAGTCATCGAAAATCCTGTATAATAAAGAGGGAATATGCAAATTGACCGTCACTCTGCCACAAAGATGGAGGCGCCCACAACGGAGGGGGGGTTTCCATAACAAGATGGCTGCACCCACAGCAGAGGCTGAGTTCCTGTAATGAGCCTTAACGAGCAATCAGCAGGGATCTGAGGCTGCACCCCTCCTCCACCCCCATGGGGCCACAACGCCGACCCTGAGGCCAGGCCGGGGGACCTCAGGCTGTGCCCCTTGCCCAGCAGGGCTTGATGGGGGACCTCAGGCAGCGCCCCTAGCCTGGCAGGGCTTGACGGGGGTGGGTGGGGGGGGGGGGCTTCAGGCTACAACCCTGCCCAGTGGGGCTTGATGGGAGACCTCAGGCTGTGCCCCTTGCTGAGTGGGGCTTGACAAGGGTGGGACTGGCTAGGTCTGGATCTAGCCCAATGTCGAGGTGGGTGTGGGAGGGGGGGCACAGAGCTGGGTCTGGGTCTCGCGAGATTTTGAGGCACACGTGAGTGGGCAGGGACTTGACACTGGGTCCCACAGCACACCCCAGACTCTGATAGGAGGAAGGTTTTTATATACACTTTACTAATTTTCTTTCATCTCTGACACTTATAGAGAAAGGGCAAATAGCAATATTAAAATATTTCCTCTAGTTAATTCCCTTTTAATATGCACAAATTTCATGCACCAGGCCACGAGTATATTTATAAAATAAAATGTTTTAGACTTCTCACCTGTTTACGTGCAGTTAAAAGTTGCTTTATGAATATTTTAAAAAGCACATAATATACCTAGCATATAACTGATGACCAATAAGTTCTAGTTTTAATTCTCTGGGCCTTCTCATGAGGTTTCCTGATATTCTAGTTTATTATCAGTCATTTTGCTTTGGTTTGTGTTTCTGTCATTGGGTGTGGTTGGAGTTTGTGTTCAGAGGTAACTGGCTTCTCAGAGCTGTCACCCCGTCTTGCCTCTGATTACCTGTACCCCTCTCTGCAGTGACCATCCCCTGAGGGTCCATGTGACCTCAGGCCACTCGCTCCATCAGAGATGCCACTGTATCACTGGCGTTGCTTTGGTTAGATGCCGTTGATTTCTGTAAACTAAGACATACTTTTTTTCATAAATATATTTTTATTGATTTCAGAGAGGGAGAGGGAAATAGAAACATTGATGATCATCATTGATTACTGCCTCCTGCACACCCCCTACTGGGAATTGGGCCTGCAACCTGGGCATGTGCCCTGACCAAAATCAAACCTGGGACCCTTCAGTCCTCAGGCCAACGCTCTATCCACTGAGCCACACCAGCGAGGGCAGGACAAACTCTTTTTGAAGGTTATTTCTAAGCTGGAAGTCTCTCCCTGCAGGAGTCACCTCCCCTCAGACATTTAAATCAAGTTCCAGTCACTTCACTTATTGGCCATGAACTGCCGACTTGCCCCACAACTGAGTTGTGACTTGGTACGTCTGAATTGCAAGTAGTTTGAATTGCTACAAACTGACTTCTAAGGTAGCTGAGATTAAAAGCAGGTACTTCTAGCCCAGCTGGTGTGGCTCACTGGTTGAGTGTCAACCTATGAACCAAGAGGTCACAGTTCAATTCCCGGTCAGGACATCGATCCCCGGGGGGGGGGGGGGGGTGCAGGAGGCAGCTGATCAGTGATTCTCAGCTATGTTTCTATCTCTCCCCCCTCCCTTTCTCTCTGAAATCAATAAAAAATATTTTAAAAAATAAAACATCATTCTAAAGGTGAATCAGTAAAAGCTCTAGCTAACTGGAATTGCACGCATGTCCCTGAGAAAGTCAGTTTTCCTTTGCGCCTCCCTTTCTGCCCTCTTTGAGATATTGGGCAAGACAGCGGGGGAGGACGGGAAGACACTTCTGGAAACAAGCCTGTGGACAGTAGCCTGGAGGCCGGGTCACAGCAGAGGCTCTGGCCCTCATTCTTACTCGTCGGTCTGTTTGTCCAGTGTGAGCCCTCAGCGCGGCCGCCTCCCACACACCCGTGAGCCCTCAGCATGGCTGCCTCCCACACACACCGTGACGACGCTGTGTTTATAAATAGGCACAGAGACTGGCAACAGTGACATCATAAAACCGTTATAAGCATGTACTGTAGAGAAGTTACGTGAACGGCTTTGGGGCCACTAAGTGAAATAGGAAGATTGAACTGTGACCCACACCCATCCATCTGGCCTCGGGCACATATCCTGAGACCCAGTGGTCTTAGGAAAGCTCAGTCCCCTGTGGCACAAAGGACATTCACACTCCAGGGAAAGTCATTTTATTTTATGTTTTTAATTTAAATCTTTATTGTTGAAAATATTACATATGTTCCCCTTTCCCCCCATTGACCCCTCCTAGCCTGCCTCTGTCCCCACCCGAGGCTTTACCCTCCCACTGTCGGCTCCGTGTATTATGCATATATGCATACAAGATCTTTGGCTGATCTCTTCCCACCCTCCCACTCTCCCTGCCTTCTCTCTGATATTCCACACTCTGTTCCAGCCTTCCATGTCTCTGGATTCATGCAGTCATCAGTTTATTTTGTTCATTAGGTTATACATATGAGTGTGATCATGTGATACTTGTCTTTCTCTCACTGGCTTATTTCACTTAGCATGGTACTGGCCCTCCGTGCTGTCTCAAAGGGTAAGAGCTTCTCCTTTTTCACAGCTGCACAGTATTCCATGGTAGAAATGTGCCATAGCCTTTTATCCACTCATCTGCTGGTCAGCACTTGGGCTGTTTGCAGATCTCAGCTACTGTAAATTGTGCTGCTGTGAACATGGAAAATTCATTTAAAAATTAGTTTGTTCAGTTAGGGAAAAACATGTTTTACAGGGCCTCCTCGCTTAGTGAAGGTTTTGGTCCACGCCCACTCACCCTGAGGGCATTTGAGTCTTCAACTCACTCCGAAAACAACCAGGCCTGGAGCGTTCCCTTGCAGAGATAAATAAATGGTTTGGGATATATGGAAAAATACATATGGCAAGCCCTTCATTTGAAATCTTTGCCACTGAGACTGAGAAAAGGGAATTTTCAGGCTCTTAGGTTAGATTAGGGGTGTCGAACTCAATCAGAGAAGGGGCCAAAATCTAAAATCCAGCCTAAATCGCGGGCCGAATGGTTTACTGAACAGTCATAAACTGTCATTGTGATGGAAACGCAGCAGAGTGCAGTGATGACAGCTCGGTGCGGGCCATATTGCAAGGCCTGGCGGGACGGATTTGGCCCGCGGGCCTTGTGTTTGACACATGTGGGTTAGATGGTGACATGCAGAGAGAGGGGGTCACAAACCAAAGCAGATGTAATTCCCACACACGGAAGGAAGAGAGCGCCTTTATAAATACAGAGTTTTATAAGTGTCCGAAGCTCCTGGCTGTACATTCAGTCATTCTGCCCCAGCTTTAATCTAAGGTTCATCAGTGACGCGAGTGGTCACCAAACGCCTGGTCAGATCTGCGTGTGAGACACTGAGCAGACGTGACGAACAGAGATTTTCAGACTCAGTTTATAGGCCTTTCGACTGACAATTGATAGGAAGAAAAAAATCAGAATTAAAGTAGAGCTTTCAAGATGTGATCTATGGCGAAGATGCTGTGAAAATTGCTGACGTGGCACAGAGGACATAGAATGTTCCAGACTCAGTGGGTGAAGCAGCAACAGCGTTTGAGAGGATTGACTCCAACTTTGAAAGAAGTTCTGTGGCTAAAATGCTGTCCAACAGCTCGCATGCTGCAGAGAAGTCGCTGCAGCAGACCTCAGTGCTGGCATATTTTGAGAAATTGCCACCCCAACCTTCAGCAGCCACCAACCCGGTCAGAGAGTGTGTGGCCGGAGCCGGAGTGGTCAGGTGCAGAGTGAGGAGCAGGCCTAATACCACCTCCTGACTTCAGGTCACAAGGATGCTCAGCCCTGAACCCACCTCCACCGCCACCACCTCTGTCTCTCTCACGTGGCCTGTTCGGGGCACCTCCTGTAAACGGACGCATTCGTGTGTCTGCATGGATCTGGCTAAAATGTTTTTTAATTGCAAAAGCTAAATCCGGTTCTAGTCACTGATTGCTGGGGTTCCTGTCCTGCTTGAGCCCCAGTCAATAAGCTGAAACCACCATTTTTTTGGTAGAAGCTGCTAAGTCCAGACAGCACCTCGCAGGAGCGTCCACCCCATGGCCTGGGAGCACGCAGAGTGGGTCGGGGGTGTGGATGGACGAGGGCGCAGGTTGTCAGCCCCACGAGCACCCTAAAGTGAGGTGCAGCGGGAGCAGAGGATGAGGAGGCAGGAATGCAGGATGGGCAAACGCGGGTCTGCAGCCGGGAGTGTGAGGCAGTGTTTTCTGTGTCATTTATGATTGTGGTGATTACTATTTACCTAGTTGCCCACCCTGCAATTGCCAAGAGAAACCACAGGCCTTGCAAAAGGAAAGGCTCCATTTTTAACGTTCCTCTCACCAAGTGTCCAGAGAGCCTGACGGGCCATGTCCTTCCCGGCCGACCTGCACCCCCAGCTTCCGGACAAGAAGCAGGAACTGGGATGCTGTGACCATCCACACCGAGATGCGTTTCTATAGCAACAGATTGTTAGAGAGTGGGGATTTTTGAGCGCTTCAGAGAGGCCGTGGACTATGCCCCAGATAGAGTTGTCAGTGCTGACACCAGGCCAGGCCTTGACCTATGGTCTCACGGCCCCTTCCCAGCACACAGGCCTTCTTTCACAGATCACTGTCAGCTTTCTGTAGAACAGGATGACCCTGTGAATAACCTGGTCATCAATGGCATGACTGATGTTGCTTGGGAAAAACTGTTTGTCTTGTGTTGCTTGTTCTGCAAAAACAGAT